CCTCGCAATGCAATGAGAAGACACCGTGTAGAGGACCATGTTGCGGTTCAGAGGCTTGTGCGTAGGCTGATTGTTTGGGCCTTTTGAGCTGATGTTGCTATAGGTGACCCAGTTTCAGTACTGCAGGGCTCACTGGACCAAAACGTTGGAGCACAAAGATGAACGTGCTGCTGTGCTGAATCAGGAGAGTCCTCAGGCTCTGGCCTGCAGGAGGCCAGGAGGGGAGAGCCAGGATGGTTCCTCCTGGCCCGGAGTCAGTTCTGTGAACTGACGCAGAGGTGAGACCTCCTCACTCCAGTGAAACAAAATCTCCTTGTGCTACATGTCCTCTACGGAACAGGAGGAAAACATGTTAATTGTACTCTCATTCACCCACTCCTTCTGCTTCTGAAGTTTTGAATGGCTTACTCCAGTCTCAAGGCATTGCAAGTGGTTTCCTTACGTGCACAAACCCACACACTCCCCCTGCCTCTCCTTTGGGCTGTTTTCTCCCACACACGATATCAAGAAATGAAGTGCCATGAAACCCTTTCTGATTCATCACAAATATGGGGAAGATCTTAGTAAGAAATGGGAGATGAGGTGCGAGAGCACTGACGGCACTTTGTTGTCGGCTGGCGAGGTGAGGTTTGCTTCCAGCAGAGCCAGCTGGAGCGTGGTGGCTTCAGGCAGCCTGGAGGTTTGGACTGGGGAGCGCAGTATGGTGCTGTTAAAGGACACCTGTTTCCAAAGCAGGGCTGTTTGCACGCCCTTCGACTCACAGGTCCAACCAATCTTTGCACTTTGGGGAGCAACGGACAGGCAGCAAACCTTGCTGAAAGCCTATGGAGATGCAGCGGAGCAGCAAAGGAAGGCTAGGAGGTTCACAAACTGTCTGCACATATGGGTGATTGCTACATGCCATTGGCTAGAGCAAAGTGAATCCGAAAAAGATGAGGTAAGACTGTGGGGCCTGTTCTACCCTACTGTGAATATCACTTCTAATTCTGCGCGTTTTCAGGAACAGTTTGGGAGAAGCTTGCAGGGCTTCTTCTTGTGTCATTGAGGAGGGGAGGACCTGTTCTGTTGCTGTTTTTCATCCATGTCAGAGTGACCTGTGCAGCCTGCACAGCTTCATGTTATTCAGGACAGAATATTGCAATAGATTTATTGCTATTAAAACCAAAACAAACTCCAAACCTATTTATAAAGACGTGAGATAGCACCAGCAGTCGGGTGACACGTTGTAGCTGCTGCAGATCCTTAAGACCAGGGAAAGTTTCTGTGCAGTAAGCAGACCCAGAAGTCCTCTGGCTTGCTCTGCCCTGTTCTCGTAGTTTTGGCCAATGAAACTATGGCGCATTTAGCTCCTAAAATAGCACTACAGATGACACCATGCAGAGGTACTAAATCCATTCCTGAAAGCAATATAAGCACCCTAGGAGGAATCATGCTAGACCTTAAAGCCCTGATATTTGGCTGATGTATGTTCAGACTGGAAAGCAGCTGCTTTGACCTCGGAGTGCTACTGGATTCATGGACACAAAATTCCTTCTTCAACTGCTACGCTTTGATCCCAAAAGCTGTCTGCACTGGGACCTGCTCAGAAGCTGTGTTTCTTGACTAACATGAGGTCCCGGAGTGTGTGGCTCTCCGAAGGCCGGGCACATCATGTCACTTCTCATTCTGCCAAACAGATGCAAAGTGAACTTTCTTGCCCCAAACACCACAGGTTTCCGCTTTCCTTTGGGAGGAAATGTTTAACCACATCTGTGAAAACCCTCTTTGGTTCTGTTGGCACGTATCACTTGGGTCTTGTACCTATTTTTCCTCTCATTACATCATTTCAGTTTGAACAAGTGGCTTTCTACTGCCTTGCTGTTTAGTAGCGAATTTCCAGTTATCTCCCAGGGCTGCAGGACTTCTTTCTGTTCAGAGGCCTCCTGCACAGTCCAGAGAGTGACAGGGAAACTACTGATTATTCCTTCCCCTTGTTGGCTAAATGGAATAACTAACATGTGGCTGATAAGGGAGGACAGAACTTGTCAGTGTTGGTCTGCCAGTGCTAAATTACGCTCTCACGGAGTGAGAGGCTTTAGCTTGTCTCCAACATCCTCTCTGGAAAATTGGGTGGTATATAAAATCTTGTCCGATATTGAATCTGTTCCTAATAGCAGTGATCATTGTTTTACCACAGGGTTACAACTGGTCTTCAGATTTTGCAAGCACCAGCATCAAAGGCTGCATTTGGTACTCCAACACGAGGCTCTGTCTTGGCTATATCAAACAGGGTGTTACCTCTCACCAAGCCTTTTCTAGTTTTTTCTAGTTGTGGAAGAAATCAAACCCCCCTGTTCACTTCTAACCGTGACTAAGCTGCAGAGAAATTGTAATGTTACAGTATAAGTAAATTTAGTTGCTTCCAGCAGATGGCATTACAGCAGTGCAGTCCTGATGGAGGCGAGTTCCTCTCCCGGCGCAGTAATCCCTCTGCTACTCTGTACACAGAAGTGGTTGGGTTTTTTTTCCTCCTAGCACTCAAAATAAATGGGGTTAAACAGATTCTTGTTCTTTTCATTTCCTATCCAATAAAAGATGTTATTTCTATCATATGCATCTTTATAGCATTTTTTGCTTTATTTTTCAGTGTGCCTAACTCCACAATCACTTTATTTTAGAAAATTTGTCAAGACACTGAATGTTTTGGATTGTATTCACAAATATGCTCACCACTGGGCACGTGTAAAATTTCTGCCCTCAAGTTGTGCATCTGGGCAGTCTGCATGGCAGAGGGGAAGAATTAGGTACTTCGCACCAGCTCCACAGCAGCTAGCGGGCAAAGCAGAGACCAGTTACAAGAAGCAGCTGGTAATTTTAACCAATTAATTAAATTTCAAATATATTTGTTAAGTTTTTAGGTACATTCCTCTGTACGGTCTCACAAATGCAAAAATATTGCAGACAGGTATGCTTGTATAAAAAAACCCAAGCCAAATAGGAAGGCAGCTGTTTTTACTGCCGATGTCAAAGTCAGTTCTGACGAAGCCACGGTACCGCGCTGACGGCGCTTGGGCGTAGCAAGAGTGGACATCACAGCCCCTCCACACAGATCTCCAAAAGCCATTCTTTAAAACACTTGTCTTCAAGTCAACTTACTTCTGTTATTCATTAATCAACAATTTACATTAGAAAAAAAATCTACCAGAACCATGGGTAGCATATTCTATTGTTTACCTTTGCATTACAATAAATGTAAATAAGAATTTGTCTTTATTTAACCATGCACTTGGGTATTTTAAGCCAAGACAAGCTGACTCATAAAAGACAACTCTTAGCATTTGATTTTCCTTCTGTTTAGTTAAAACACATTCCAATTCTTCCTTATTGACCTAGTGTGGAATTTATTAACTTACTACCCAATTCACAAAAAGCTGAGTAAAATTAAAATATTGCCCCGTGATTCATCAAAGCTTCTAGTCCACCAGGTTTTGCACTTGCAAGGAAAAAAAAAGCTCAAAGTATTTTTCTTTGCAAGCAAAAGCGTGCTGTGGCTCGGGGAGGAGGGGAGAGAGGGGGAGGCAGGACGCAGGGCGTGTGTCTGGAGGGTCTGGGCATCGCAGGTGCAGGGGATGGCGCCGTCCCCCGTTTGGGATCTGTAATCCTCAGTCCTTTCCTGAAATAAGGAACCTAGCGCAACCCTTGAGGACACCTGTATGTGTAGATATGTGCATGAATGTATATATAAAGACAGACAAAGCAGTACTCCCTTCTTTACCCAATAGGCCTTTTCTGCTTCTTGAAGCACGTTAGCGTTCCATTGCTCAGATAAGCACTCATCCCGGAGAGGAGGCCGTACCTGCCCCGATGGACATGCTGACTGCCAGCCCCTCAGCTCTTCCACCCAGGAGCTCTCTCAGCCGCTCCTGCCCCGTTACCGCTTGACCATGTTCATCCAGAACAGAGAGATGCAGGATTTCAGGCTCTGGCAGGCTTGGATGGCTGTTGGTTGGGATTTTGGGAATGACAGTTTCAAATGAAGTGGCCAAAGTAGTCCTTTGACTTGATTACACTAACTTGCTTATTTTCTTATTTGATATTGGCAGGCGGTCAGTATTATTTATTTGGTTTGGTACCAAAGTGTTTATTCAAAAGGAATGGTGGCTTGGGCTTTCTAGCTAGACTTCTCCAGAAGTTGCTGTTCTAACTCCTCTGTCTGCTGTTCGCAACTTTTACAAAGTTTTGCAATTAAATCTTCTGTATTTAGCATGTGGTCAAAAATAATTTTCCATTTGCTGAGAAAATGAGGAAAATGGTTAAACTACAGAGGAAACCGGGAGGGGAGAAGCAGCAGCAGTCTTCTGAGTATCAAAACTGGTGTGACATACATGTGCATATCCCAGCTGCTAAAGGGCCCGAGCGGAAAAAAGGAAATTTGCCAGGGAAATAATAGTTTTTTTGAGGGAAAAAAATGCTATGGTCTGTGCATATGTCACTAAAACCACATCTCTGAGTCATTCACAGCTGCCTTTCATGCGGAGAGCAGGAGCAAAGGCACTGCCACCGCTTGGTCCTTGTTCCCAGGGTAAGGGCCACGACTGGCTGTGCTGCAGCTCCCTGTCCACAGTGGGCTGCAGGTAGGACCCCACACTGGGCTTGATCTAACTACACCTGGAAATGCCGTCTGTGCAGATTACAGGCAGTGATCCGTGTGTCCAGCTGTAGCCCTGCTTTCTTGAGCACGGCCCTGGGGCAGACCTGCACTGGAAGAACCAGTGATGCAGCTCCCAGTCTGCTCTGTTCCCACCCATCCCAGCTGGCTGCCAAGGGAGCGGGGGCTGGGAAGCGACAGCAGAAAGAGCTGGGAGGAGACGGGGAGTGCAGGGAGGTGCAGGCACCCCCCTGACAGGGTGCGAACCTGGGTCAGAGAACACTGAGGGTCAGACCCATTTGCACGTGTGTAATAGACATAATTGGTGTGTGCAAGACCTCCATCAGCCTTACACTGATGTTTTCTTCAACAGAAACGACCTGGGAGCGGCCAAGCAGTGTGCCTGGGACTCCAAAGAGCCCTGTGTCACAGAAGAGTTCTGCAGGTACTGTTTGATGCTGTGCCTGACCACTGCACTGGGTGACTCTGCTTTGCTACCACTCAGCAGAGCAAAGAAAAATGCTGTGATTACATGGGATGTATATTTAATGTGCACGGTCACGTGAGTGTAGCAGAGTAAACGTGGTGGGGCTTTCTCTTCTGATACATAGGTCTTCTCGCCTGCTGTTTCCCTACTGATGCATCTTCTGGCGGGTTGTCTGAAGTGCTGCTCAGAGCTGGGATGGCTCCTTCCTTGGAGGCAGATGGTGGCCCAGCGAGTCAGCGGGGCTGCCGGCTCTGGGAAGGAAGGACGGGCTGCTCTTCCCGGTCCTGCTTTCTGCCGGGGCAGGGCAAGCAAAAGCTGCAGAGGAACACGGGCTGGCTGTAGTTTTTCACACAGAGCACATGTGCAAAACGAAGCGTTTTAGGAAGTGGTAGCTACAGGGTTGACTACTTCACCTCTGTCCTGACTTGAAGTTGCAGGGAATCAAGTAACAGAGAATCAGCTGCATAACTGATAAAGCATAAAGCACCGTACAGCTGTATACATGAACCATAAACATCTTAGACGGCTTGCTTTCTTAACATGAAAAGCCCATCTCCATTAAACCAGTGCTTTTTACATACCCTACTTCTTCAAACACATCGTTTTACCAAACAGCGCTATGGGAACTGTTTTGAGTTTGGGGGTCTCTTTTTCTTGGCTCTTTGCAGCTCAGTAACTCCTGTCGTAACTCCTGGTAGGAGCCTGCTGCAGGATCCTGAGGGTGGAGTGGGCTGAGCTTCTGCAGAGTCTGGTTCTGGGGTCTTTCTGGGTTGGAGCTAACACATCCCATTGCCAGCCTGTTAGGATGGGGAAAAGCATCTGTAGTTTCTTAGGCTGGAGGCAGTGAACACTGGTGACTCAAAAAAGGCACCATGATTTATATCTGTATATTCAATTATGTGATTAGTTTTTAAAATATGCAATTATTCGTTTGCTACCGGCAGCAAGCCTGCTAACTCTCCATCTGTTCTTACAGTGAATGGCTACCACATCTCTGGGACCCCGGTACACCAGCTCGACTCTGGTCATATCAGCCTCCGGAAAGCCAGTGGGGACCCCCAGGTAAGTTCTGGGGAAAAAGCCAAACAGTGGTACCCAAGAATAAATGGGTCTCCACTTACGTAGTTTAGGAATCTGCCCAGAACAGGAGATCAAGAGACATTTTCTTTTAGAAACTGTCAAATCAGACAGATCTGTTGCATCTAGAATACTGTCGTGGTTTAACCCCAGCCGGCAGCTAAGCACCACCCAGCCGCTCGCTCACTCCCCCCCGGTGGGATGGGGGAGAGAATCGGATGAGTGAGAAAACTTGTGGGTTGAGATAAAGACAGTTTAATAGGC